TCGAACAAGTTCGCAGATCTTCTAGCCAAAGACAGTGCTCGGGGCCAAGCAGGTGCATAGTTTCTTGCTTTTGTTTTGTGTACATCTCTTGTAATCGGGCAAGTCTTATAAGCCCCAATTTTTTGTATAGGGTCACAGTGTAGTGACCTATTTTTTGAACGAGAGACCAGCCTGTGGGTACTCTCGAGACATTCTCTTGTACACCACTACTTTTCTATTAATACAAGCATTAACCTCATTTAAAAAAAGAATAGAAAAAGAAAGCCCTTAGACAAGTCCATCAAAGCTGACCAGGGTTCCCAGATCAATCAAGTGGCATGAGAAAGGAGAAAACGGACCAAGCAATGGCAATTAAAGTAGACAATGTCATATCTGGTGGACTCAGGTGCATTGGAGCCCAAGAAGTCAAAATGCAAAAACTAGAAGCAAGAATCTTGAATGGTTTATGGATCTATCATTTAATGGGGAGCACCTGCAGCTAATGTCTCCAAGTAGTTGCAGAATTTACATTTCAATTTTATTGAATTTATTAATTTATTAATAGTAATTAGTAAATAAAAATAATTAGTAATTAAAGCTCTTATATGAGAAGAAAATTCTCTCATTTTGACTTGGGCTCGCCTTTTCCATAACAAAAAAAATGTATTAATTCAATTCATTAAAAATATGTCTACTTTTTCTCTTTAGTCTCCGTGATTTCTAATTTAATTGTGGACAATGTCATGGCTGGTGGACTCAGGTGCATTGGAGCCCAGGAAGTCAAAATGCAAAAACTAGAAGCAAGAATCTTGAATGGTTTATGGATCTATTATATAATGGGAAGCACTTGCAGCTAATGTCTCCAAGTAGTTGCAGAATTTACATCAATTCCAAATTCCGCACTTACAGAAGGGACTCATATTTTCCAATCTTAGGGGGTCCTCGTGAATAATATGGCCCAAAGGATGCAAGCAGGCTAAACTTAGTTCCCTCAATTGAAACTAGAGTTGACGTCTGAAAGCAGATTACGAATAGCACACAGAGCTTTGACACAAGGGATGAGGGCAGGCCAATTGTAGCCCCATGGGTTGGCAGTTGGAGGAACAGAGGAAAGATGTTTCCTCTGAAATATATTCCTGTGTATTAGTAAAAAAAGAAACACGGTTATATGTAAATGAAAAACGTGAAATCAAGTTTGATTGGAAGAAAGTGAACCCATGTATTCATGTTCATTTGATTTGTTTAACAAGGAAGGGCACTACAAGACCCAGGACCAATGTCCTGCCTTCATTTGATCATTTCATAAAAAAGGATACTAATTGTTTCTTGGAAACACTGGTAATAATGACAGTGATCATGGAATATTACTTCTAAGATCCCAATTGAAATGCAACTTTGTATCACACTACAGAACTCATCTCTCCACGAAAATTAACATTTTCCATGATGGAGAGGGAAGGGGAGCCACTGAGAATAGATTCTCTCAGCAAGATAGATAAAAGAACTGCAATAAAAAGGAATTAATTACATAATAGTTGATAAAAGCAAATAGTGGTAGCAGATCATCAACTAGAACTTGCTGACTTCTTGACTGCTGCAAAGTAATATTCTCTCTTTGACTACAAGGATATAGAAGGAAACATTGATGACCAGGGAAATAAACAATGGAAACACTTATGATCAGAGAAATAACCATATCAAAAAGAAAAAAAAAAAGAAGATTAGGGAAGCTAGATGCGGTGGCCAAAGAGGAGTTTAGTCTTATCTCACATTGTTTTTTATGCCTCAAAGAAGTGTTGAGGACACCATGATGTTTCAAGACACATTTCTCATGGTGTCTTTGGGCATGGTGCATCAAGCAGAACATAGCAATCTTTCTCAGAGTGGATCTCCTACTCTCGATGCACAAGGAAAATATATCTTGGTGTGAGTGAAGCTAAAGAGTCGTGTTGCCTCACTCAGAGTAACTCCGATTTACTATGAGAATTTTGTATGTGCAGCCCATTGACAGTACATACTCCCAAGATCATAGTGCTACAATGGGATTCCCCATGCATTCCCCACCTGGTTTTTTTAAGCAAAGTATGGCTGGAAGATATAATTATGGAGATAGTTTATGATGAAAATGGGCTCGATCCACTGATACAGTTGCAAAATGAAGGCCACTTGGCAACAGGGCTCCAGTTTGTTTAAGAGATTCCGTGTAATAAAAGCCACCTCAGGAAGTCACTACAAAATGATGGTGAGTGCAACAGAGAACATCCAACATCTAGTGGATGGGATGGGTTTGCTAGTCGGCATTTGCGATTGTGCAGGGCTCTTTCATGGATTGTAGTAGGCCAGTTTGGACTTGACTAGAGTTGGACTAATTACTTTTCAGTCTTCAGATAGGGTGGAGGACAGTAAACTATTCGATCAAGAGATTAGTTCTAAAAGAAGAGCAAGGAATATCCAACTTTAGATTCATGGGGAGGCAGGATCAAGTATAACTTCGGCATTTTCCATTGTAATTCAAATAGGAGGGAGTCTTAAGATGAGTTTGCATAGTGACAACCTGTCGAATGGTTTGAGCATCTTTTGTGTTCAAGGGGTATGTTCCTGCAATTTGTGAAATAAAATGAATTTTGTTTTACAGGGCTGCTAATCTTGTACAACCTCCTTGGCGATTGGCATCCATTTACGAACTCATCACTCTCATTTGCAGAGACCTATCGCCAGTGACCTTCACACACATCCTTAGAGATGCCAACTCTGTGGCAGACGACCTTGCTAAGGGAGGAGCCCAAAGCACCTTTCCCTCTCTTGAGTTTTTACTTCAGGTATGCTAAAAATTTTCCTTTTAGTCTCAGCCCCACTCTCTCTCTTAGACTCTATCTCTTCCCTAAGCCCCTTCTACTTCTCTCTACGCCCTCCTGTTTGCCTTCTCTCCCAGCCTTACTTCCTCTCTCTCACAGTAGACTTCTCATCCCTACACTTCTCCGTTCTCCCCTGCCACTCTCAAAGGAAAAAAAAAAAGGGGGGAGGGGAAAGAAAAGAAAAAAGAGTGACGAGGAAAAGATGGAAAAAAAAAAAGAAGGCATTGGAAAAATTTGGAAAAAAAAAAGAGAGAACAAAATACATATATATTAACCTTGCCGGACTGTTTTTCGTTTTCCCTCTATTGCCTCTACCTAAGGTCCCTCCGCTATATTCCCATCTTTTGGTTTCTTTCCCCCATAGTGTAACTTTTCCTTCTAGTCTCTTCCCCCTCCCCCCCAATTCTTCTCTTATCCTTCTCTTTTCAGGGCTTATTTCTTCCCCTGGCCTAACCCCCGCTCTTCCCCTCTTTTCCTCTGATCTTTAGCTAGCTCGTAAGGGAGAACTACAATAACGCGAGGGACAGACGACACCGCAGCTCTTTCCCTGCATCATCTCTCGGCATGGCAGCTCGTGACTGCAGTGTTTGGTCAGCTCAAGGCATTCCAGCTCCTGAGGACCAGTTGTGGACCCAGTAATCTCTTTCCACCCCGACTGGCCACGCCTTCTACTACCTTTTCTCTCTCGGCCCTGAAGCTTGTGTGCGCACAGTTAGGACAGCTGGATAGCTCCTGAGGAATAGTCAAGGACCCAGCATCCTCCTTCCACCCCGACTGGACATGCATATTTTTTCTTTAGTTTCTTACCCCCTTCTCCATAGTAATCATCTTCATTCTTTTGGTATTCCCTTTTACCCTTTAGGCCTTCCTTCTCTCTTCTTCCTAATGTATTATTTGCACCAGTTTTGTGGGTTGCCGTTTTTTCCTCTTTTTTTTTGAGTTTTTTTAGTTTCTTGCTTTCTCGTCTTCTCCCCCCGTGTTCTGAGCACCCATCTTGTGCGTGTCGATTGGCCACATCTTGTGGATCTATGTTCTTTTTGTTTATTTCAACAAAGTTAACCCCATTCAAAAAAAAAAAAAATTGCTTTCATATTTTTAAGCAAAAGGCATTGTTGCACTCTACAATTTACCAAAAATATTAAGAAGTTGCACATTACAAATCTTACAAAGCCCAAACTGCAGCCCCCCCTCCCTCGGTCCTTCCCTCCCAGTTGATTATCCAACGCTGAAATTAATAATGTACACTCAACAACTTCTATCAGTCTGAGAGATGGCACAAACCGTGGAAAGAACAATTACATCAACAACATAAATAATGTAAAAAACTCGTGAGAACTGACATTTAAAGGTCATTTCTCCAAGTTCCATTCTACCCAGCCTGTTATTTTTGGAGTCTCAGCTACTAGGAGTAGATCCAACCCAAAAAATAAAATTTCTAAATGACGAAACACTTATCTTTTTATTATTTAAAAGTGATTTTCCGGCATTACAGGATGCTATCAATCTCAAAAGGCCATGTATAAATAATACAATTCAGTTTTGATATGCATATGCTGGGCCCTTGTAACAAATAACCAATGATATCAAGAACCATAAGTCCCTTTACTTACCACTTATCCAATTAAATATTCTCTCCCCACCTTGTTATTTATGGCTGCCTATATGTGAATGCATCTGGTACATGGAGGAGATACTCAAACTTGTGGTGCGGTTAATGATGATTTTATTTTATTTTATTTTTTTGGTGAAGTACCTTTTCTGTATTGAATGTTTAAAGATGTAGAAAATTATGTATGAGAGTGGTTAGACCAAGAACCAGTCTTTTGTACAAAAAGGGGACAGTTATAGAAATATAATCGAGTTCTTTTAAAAATGATCAAATAACAGAGTAAGAAATTAAGAGAAGAAATCCATAGTCCAACAATAAATTCGGTTTCTTTTCTTTTTTGAATGTTAATAACTTGAGGTTATCAACATTGGTAACGAGCAAAACAGAGCTGAGTATGTTTTTACAAGACCCAAACTACAAAACCTAATTGTAAAGAACATATAAATGCCCACCAAATATTTCTCAACTTGTATTACTGATATTCAACATGTCATCGTGAATAAGTGTACTGCCAGGAGACAATATCGCTTGGGATGAACAATCCAACCACAATAAAATGAACTCAGAGAAAAAATGATTAGATTTCTCTTGCTGAGCAATAACAGTTACAGGATCATTTGACTGATCAATACACAAGAAATTCTCGAGATGCTACAAATTTGAAAGCTGCCTACAACAGAAATTTTTATACCTGCAGATACATAGATAGAAGATAGACATACAAATCGTATCAAACACAAAGGAGACAACATGCCAGACCCTCTGTCCATTCATGTCGACTATGAAGGTAAAAAAATAAAAAATCCCAAACCTCATTGGTTTTGCGACCCAGTAATTGTGGGATGCCTTAGGTTAAGTGGGTCCTTGACCTCCAAAGGTGACGCACTCTCATTCCTGATCCTTTTGATCTTGGCCGATGAGAGGGCCCTGTGAGCAAAGCCATATATCTGAAGAATCTGATTATCGGCAAAATTGAAGGCCCTCTCCATGCTACTCATACACTTCTCCACAGGGTAATCCCCATAGCTACCGCAAGGCTTGCACCCAACGAAATGTGTCACAAACGGCCATCGGTCGTCGCCCAAACCAGGATGATACTTGTCCATCATCTCCTCATACCTGTCCACCAGCCCCGCCCAGTAACCGTGGAGATAATAGGACTCTTCCAAAAACACCTTCCCTGCCCACTCATCCTTCTTCGATATGAGTAAGTATATGAGAGCAGATTGATCGTCGGCCTCAAAAGCAGGGCGCCCCTTCAAATTGGCGGTCAGGATCTTCCCGGCCTCATCCCTGATCACACCCTTGGGCCCCATGGGGGCCCAGGCATCAAGGAGATCGAGGGACCACTGGCAGTTGCGAAAGAGAAAACTCCCGGTGTTAAGCCCGATCCATGACTTCTGGTTGAAGACAAGATCCTTGTAGCCGTGGAGGACGAAGTTGTAGTCGTTGTAGCGAGAGAGAGGGATCTCAAAGGCCATGTCCGTGAACATGGCATCACTGTCCATCCACCAGATCCACTCCACTTCCGGATGCGAGAGCATCAGCCGTCGGATGAGGGGCAGCTTGGCCCAGTAGCCAGCGAGCTCTCTGTCGAGATGGGCCATGTTGTACACGATCTCGATCCCATGCAACCGGCAGTAGTCGATCTTGTTCTTCGCAGCCTTGAGCAGATAGTGATCCCCGATGGGGTTATCGCAGGGATTGGGCTGCGACCCAGTCACCAGGAGAATCCTCGGCCTGCCACCGGCCAAGAAATTGGGAAATTCCGGGTGCTCATTGAGCCACGCCTTGCGCTTCTGATCCCAATCTAAGATCTTGGGGCCAAGGGTGTATGTTATGTTAGGGTTGATCTCAGCAGCATCTTCCTCGAGGTCAGCAGTAGATCTGATCTCCTCCAGAATGCGATTCGTCTCCTCAATTATGTTCTGGCTCGTCTCAGCATCTCCGCCTCCGCCCCCCAAGTTGCCGACTCCGATGGTTCCTCTGAGGACAAGGATGGTCACAAAACCACAGAGGATAGTGATCTTTAGGTTGTTGAACGTCTTCTGGATCTGCCGCAACCTCGAGCCGCCCACCTGACCTCGACCCCCACCCCTCATGGTTGGGAGCCCTCCTCTCTTCGAACTCTCCCCCATTCTCGTTCTTCAGCTCATCACTGGAGAAGAAGAGCCACCAAATGACCGAGATCGAGATACGCCGACGAGCAAGCCACTACTGGTAGTGTACTGCTGCTACCAATTGCCCTAGACCCACCTTAGTAGAACCCCCGCTCTTTGCGGCTCTCTGTTCTTTTTAATGTAAGGAAGGAAGAAGGAAAGGGGTTTTCAGATGTACATCTACACTTCACCGTCAAATAAATTTCGGTGACAGGAACCCAACGGTTGACTTTTTACCTCTTTGTTTAACCTAAAACGCGGGTGTTCGGGCATTTGGGCTGGCGCTGCATTCGCCCTTGGTTTATTCAAATATTTAACGACGGCACTCACTGTGCGTAAACGCGAACCGGACGCGCTTTAACACGGCCGATTCAGCTGTTTTTAGGTGGTCAAAAAATAAAATTGTTAAATTTTTTTTATTAAAATACAAAAAATGATTAAAATGAAACACTTTCAATTGAAATTCAAAATTAATGAAAAAAAATAGATTTTAACTAATCGATTTGTGCCTATGTATGAAATTTTTTGAAAAAAATAGAAAAATATAAAAATGAGTGTTAATTACTAAAATAATTTTTAATCTTTTACCATAATGTAAAGAATGTTGAAAAATACATTATAAACTAAATATTTTATTTTTGAGAATTTATATATATATTTTTGAACTTTTTTTTAAAATACTTGTATATCACCAAAAACAGAACCGATTAGTTCCAATCCAATCGAGTGGTTAGCGGTTCGATCGCACGGTTTTTCAAACAGGGGACCGGCACCTATATTGACAATCGGAATTATAATTCTGTATATGTTTTTCGTGAATCCATAGTTGATTTCATGTGTATCATATATCATGGGAAAATGGTCGTACGCCGGGACGTATTCCTTTATTTGCCCCATGCGGCATAAAACGTCCATCTTTTTTACATAGAGTATGGATGCAAATGGAAAGGGTTAAAACCAGTAATCTAAATATTTTTTTGTAAAATTATATATATTTTTTAATTTATCTTTTTACATATGGATGATATCCACATAATCGGGTCCAAAAAATCCATCTAAAAAATGAACGTTTAAGAGGGGACTCCTTTCTATGTGAGTCCTGGGACTCTTAGAAACAATGTCCCAAATTTTTATGATCTTTTTGTTTAGGAAGAGTATAAAGTGAGACCATTTATCTTGGAGAAGGTTTCTATGAGTACATGTAGAAATCAGTCACCTCTTCAAAATCTGTTTTTTGAGATGGTTTTTTGAACTTAATTTGTAAGGACATGTAATCTCTAACATGGAAATCATGAATATGAAAAATAAATAAATTTTTAAAATTAAAAATAATAATTATATTAAAAAAAAATTGGATTGTTAGTTTCAATTGTTTTTAGATTGACCAACTATTTGCATCCATCCTTAAGATGGATGTTTTATACCTCGGGAATTGTAAATATAGAAATGTGATCTTCACCGCATGAAACAATTTTCTTTTATCTTTGGAACAAGGTGGTCACAATTAATCTTGATCGTTGGATGTGACATTTGGTGACTGTATTTATTTTATTGACCAAGCTCAAACTTTAAATAAATTTTCTCGAATTTTTGAGACGTATCCAACATATCACATTTCACATGGGATGGTTGTAAGTAATTGTGATATCATTGTATCAAAGGTAAAATGTCTCATTATGCAATCTTTTCTGTTTAGTTTTCTTATTTTTACAAATCCTAAGGCGGCATGATGCCCCTGATATGAGATCCCCTAATTTATGGGGTGATGGTGGGCCCGTTTGGTTCGCTGGAAATAGGACTCTTGGAGTCATATTTTTATGGAAACAGCCCCTAGTGACATGTTTGGTTTTTTCTAAAAATGGAATTGACATTTTTGTGGGACGTGTTGTATCCTCATTTTAAGCCAAATTTTAGGATATTAGGCGGAATTGACATTTTTGAGAAATCAAAAGTTAAGTGCACACATCCTAATCTTACTATTGTTATTATTAGTATTACTATTATTACTGTTATTATTATTACTGTC